TTTCTGTAATTTCCTTGAGACTGAAATTAGTTTGTTTGTTTGTTTGTTTTAAATGGAGAGGATCTGTGTTTATGTAATTAATTTTGAGGAATTGATGATGTGATTAGGAGAGAGTTGGGGAAGATGGGGGGAGAGGGGGGGAAGGTAAGAGGGTGGGGAGGGGGTAAATGGCCGGTCTGCTGAGCAACTAGGTGTGTCGACACGTGGGGGGGGGGGGGGAGATTGGTGTCGATGCTTGGGGATTGGTGTCGACACTTGGTGGGGATTGGTGTCGACACTTGGGGATTGGTGTCGACACTTGGGGATTGGTGTCGACACTTGGTGGGGATTGGTGTCGACACTTGGTGGGGATTGGTGTCGACACTTGGGGATTGGTGTCGACACTTGGTGGGGATTGGTGGCGACACTGTTTTATAGTTCGATCAGTCTGGTAGTTACGCCGTTCGAGAGCGAGCTACCTTTTGTCTCAGAGACAGATCAGCATATATATATATTTTTTTTTTCTTAGAGATAGAAATATAGATCAGTCATCCTTGGCTTGGTTTACGTGATAGATTGCGCTGTCTTGGCTCTCCTCAGCTCGTGTAAGGAAAGATCTATCTATCTATCTATCTATCTAGACTGATCTTTCGAAAATTTGAGTGTCTCGGGTTAGTCGGGAAACCAATCTATCGAAAGCTGGCTGTAAATCGGCTGGTAGATAGATAGGCCAATTCGCCAGTCGGCTTGGGAATAGAGGAGTCTATCGCTTCGTGGTCTGTCAGCCAGCAATTCATGTCTATCGAAACTTATGGTCGTTTATTATTGTTATTGTTATTATTATTGTAGTTGTTATTATTATTATTATTATTATCATCATCATCATCATCATCATCATCATCACCATCATCACCATCATCATCATCATCATCCACGTCATCATTTTCCCGATTGTTATTATTGTTATTATCATTATCATTATTATTATTAGCCTTCCTCATCGCCTGGCATCGCCGCGCAACAGAGACCGAGAAAGGAGACGAGGCAGACGTGACCTGAGGCGGGATTAGGTTAGCGGATTGCAAATAACTCCCCTTGCAACATTAGCGCACGGGAATTCTGTGTGACCGCGCGTGTGTTTGTTGATGGGGAGGGGGAGGGGAGGGGAAGGGAGAGGGAGGGAAGGGAGAAGAGTAGGTGGGGGAGGGAAGGAGCAGGTGGGGAGGGGGAGGGAGGGGGAGGTGGGGAAAGAGAGGGGGAGGGGGAGGGGAAGAGAGGGAGGGAGGGGGAGGGTAGGGGGAGGTGGGGGAGTAGGGTGAAGGGGTGGAGGGGGGTGTTGGGAAGTAGGGGAGGGGTGGAGGTGGGAGAGAGAGAGAGATGGGAGGTAAGAAGGGGGGGTTGGGGGGAAGGTGGGGAAGAGAGGGGAGGAGTCCTGTCTTGTTTCATGTTCCTTTTCTGGTGTTGGGGAATTCGGAAATGTTCTTTCGACTCTTCGGAAATGGGAGGAGGGGGAGAGGAGAGAGAGGGGAATGTTATGGAAGGAGAGACAGACAGAGAGAGTGAGAGAGAGAACGTAATGTGTTTTGACAGATGAGCAAGGCATAGTGAGACAGCTGTCACAATGATACAACAATATCGGCAGACTGTTTAGAAAGTGTGTGTGTGTGTGTGTGTGTGTGTGTGTGTGTGTGTGTGTGTGTGTGTGTGTGTGTGTGTGTGTGTGTGTGTGTGTGTGCGCGTGCATATGCCTGTGTCATTTTTGTGTGAGCGTGTATATGGATGTTACTCAATAGATATTCAAATCTATCAAACAACTTTTCAAATACCATGAAAATAACGGAATGGAAAAAAATCATCTTGTTTTTGAACGTTCCAAATTTCACCTTTTTAACAGGGAATGAATGCAAACACAGATTACGTATTGTACATATATATATATATATATATATATATATATATATATATATATATATATATATATATATATATATATATATATATATATATATATATAACGTTGGCACTAATATTGTAACCCATTCGTACACCGCTGAATAGCACATATGTATACCAAAGTTCTTATTATCGTGCGTAACACACCGATGTAACATGTCTGCGTAACACGCCATAACAGAAGTGATGGGACGCAAACATAACACCAGCGATAACAACAGCCTAACACGCCATGACAACACCGATGTCACACACCATCGTAACACACTACCATAACACCATCACAACACCATCAAAACACAATCACAACACGATCACAACACCATAAAAAACACGATCACAACACAATCATAACACGATCACAACACCATGAAAACACACCACCACAACACACCACCACAACTGCCACACCACACCACATCACAACACCACATCCCCTTTACCCCCCCCCCCACCTCCTCCCCTCACACCCCCACCCCCTCTTACCCCCTCCCCCCCACCCCCTTTCTCATCTCTCGAAAAAAAACTCGTTAACTGACCTTCTCCACCTCTTCCGTCCCCTTCACAG